TCAAAGGACTGCCTTTATTTGCAAGCTCTATTTTTGTGAAGTTTTCATCAGTTTTTTCTTAGTAATTCCAAGTTTTTCATCGTTTTCCAAATTTTGTTACTTATATGAATACAAAAGTCTACAGGGAAGCCAATGAAACCTGGCTGGACCCTTTCTGACTACACATGTCAAATGGCCACGGAATGTGACATTCAAAGTTGACAAAAGTTTCAAATCGCTGTAAAACCTGAACGGTCACTCCAACCATCTCAGTTCAAATTACAATACCATTATTAGGTCTTAAAGTAAAAAATGTGGACCGATCAATTGCTAAAAAGCTGGGCCAGACCTGAAATTTTGTGGGCTTGTTCGACTAAGGGTAGGTGAGCTCTGAAACAAGTATCACCAATATGGAAGGACCACCTATTTTAGCAAGCTCTATTTTTGTGAAGTTTTAATCATTTTTTAAAAAATATTTCCAAGTTTTTCATCTTTTTCCTAATTTTATTGCTTATATGGATACAATAGTTTGTAGGTAAGCCAATGAAACCTGGCTGGTCCCTTTCTCATTACAAATGACAAGTAGCCAAGGAATGCGACATTCAAAGTTGACAAAAGTTTCAAATCGCTATAGAATCTGAACGGTTTGGAGTTGCTAAAAAAAATTGCAGAGCCACTCAGGGGGTCATCCTGAGTGGATTGACACCTATTTTGATCAATTCCATCAGGGCAGGTTGCGGGAGGGGGGCGGGGTAGGGCGAGGGACAGTACGGGTACAGCTAGACATCCCAAGAGAGACGGAAAGACTGCTCGCCGGATTGGCTGCCTACCTTCACGGGGCGTCTCAGCCGATTCGCGCGCACAGGTTTCAGTAAAATTGAGAATTCTTGTGTTTAGAGGCCGAAACCCAACTTTTTCTATATACCAATCGAAAGCTTATGAAATTTCGAGTAAGTGAGTACACATTTGACAAGTTAAAATGCTGCCGTTTACTTATTTTCTTAATTGGAAAAACTTGTATTGCAAATTTTGAGTTTTAGCGGCATTTTTGCGAAGTTTGGCATCCACTTACCCGATCGGGCTCATATTGATACCGTTGGATTCGTCTTACAATTCCCTTTCGAATGGTATAAGCGGCATGCGTGTAGCTCATCACCCTGAGCTATGAAGCTCAATAATGTGTATTTTGCTTAGCTAAAATTTGAGTGCAGAGTTGTTTATTGCGGCCTACAGCTCCTAAGGGAGGGCCACACCCACTATTTTTGAATACAGATATATAAAGCCCACAAACTGAACTACAATTTAGCTCGGTCGGAAGTGCAGATTTGGATTTTCTACTAGGGTACGCAGGCTCGTGAAATATGGCTTCATTTTCATGTTTTTCGCAATTTACTCCACTGGTAATCACGCTAGACCAAATCTGAGGGCAGATTCGGATTCCTCATCGCATTTTACGTTAGAATAGTTTTACCGCATGAAAATCGGACAAAAAATAGCCTTGTTGAGCCATTTTGAAGAAATAACAAGATTTTTAAGAGTAAAAAATTAAAATGCCGATTCTGACGAAACCACTTGAGATATCGACCTAAAAATTTGTGGGCATGTTCCTGACCACTAGGGCTACCTTCGTGCCAAATTTGGTCGAAATCGTCAAAGGTCACCCAGATCCGTGTAAATCTTATATGGAATGACCCTGGTCTAACCTTAAGTAAATCCATGAGTCCTTAATTAACCCCTCACGAAATTATCCTAAGAGTCAGTATTGTGGTCTTGCGGGTAGCATTGCTCAGCCGATCTACACTCCCCAGTACACCGTAGGGGCACAATATAGAATACTCTCGAGTAAAAGCTAGCTGACACCTTTCAGTGTCTTGATAGTTCTAGGTATGTTTTTAAGTAGGTAACTTAAAGGTGTGAAGGCGTCATCTCCTAAAAATTTCTAACCCCACTGAAGTAACGGACTTGGCTTCGGTATCGCTCAGCCAAAAAGTGAGGTCAAGATCGGGTGAGTGGTTATTTTAGACACGGTGGCGCTACCCACCGCTTCGCGGCGAGGCGAACTTCTTGTTGCAAACCGGGCGTGCACTCGAAAGGCTTCTCGGGCTTCTCCCCGGGCGGGGACCACTCACCCAGCGGACCCCTCTCGCAGCTCGGCGCTCGAAGTGCGCATATATGGCGCGCCAAGCGGCCGGAACCGCCAGCGAGAGCGAGAGGGCGCCGCGCATTCTGCACCGCTTTTCCGGCATCGGGAAGCACGTTACCGACGGCAGCGCTTGCCGCCAAGTGTTTCCGATTCCCCTGAGAAGTGTCTCAGGTCCAACATGGTAAAGGGCACTGGTAAGAGCTGAAGGCCGTGCAGTGCTTTGTCGACGTTCGGGTGGCGCGCTGATCGCGCCATCTAGCGGCGGAGCGCGGCACTGACCGACGGCGGTGTGGACGACGGGTTGGGCGGGGATCTTGTATGGGACGTTCATGAGCTTGGCGACGCACTACCGAGGGTCAGCGTCAGCACACCGCTACTTCGTCTCGTTGGTAAAGGGGAGTGACTGGTTAAATCTTTCATATACCCCAGGTCTGAGAAACCTCTACCAGCGTAGGGGGCCGCAACCTCAAAGAACACGAAACGTTCATAGTGACGTCATTTTGATGTCAATATAACAAATTTTTGTCAAAATTTCGACATAAAAAGCATTATGCTGACGTCCTTTGACTGCTTCGTGAGTGTTTCGTGTTCTTTGGGAATACAACGTGACCATTTGGGGGAGGGGGGAGTCGAGCCACATACTACGCCCAGAGCCGTGGAGAGAAGCGAAAGGCTTGACTGGCGCTTCTCATACTTGGGGGAAGTGCCGGTCGACCCATAGCAAACATAGCGGCCGACTGCGGTCTTCTGCTACTCTTCTGCCTAGAGTATCTTGTGTCTTGATTGTGATTGTTCGATTTACGTTTAGGGTCCAAGCAAAAAACATCAGTGACATTAGAAATTCATATTTTTCCAAAAATATTTTTACTCAAATTGTAATTTTTTTGTTTTTTCTTCTTTGCATGTGAGATAGTGTAGAAGTTGGAAAATCAACTTTCTTTATATACTTGAGTAAGAAGTCTCAATTTATGGGTAAAAGTTTCTTTCTATTGCATAAACTCATACCGCAAAGGAGGGGCCTCACTTCCTTTTAGTTTCTGAGTTATAGAGGTTTACGTCAACATTCAGTCGTTTCTCCCAAAGTCACCTCACAACAAAGAAAAAGGTTCCCAGCCTTTGCCAAATTGATCTCTTTCGATACAGGAAAAAGACCCTGGCTTTTTAAAAATATTTTTCTTGTTTCTAGATTTAAAAAAATAAGTAAGGTCCATTGTAAAGTAATAAAAGTGACTATTAATTTTTTTAAATACTTGTAGCCTAAATTTATGGGTGAAAGTTCCTTTCTATTTCATAAACCCCAAAGGACGGGCCCAAATTTTATTTAGTTTCTGAGCCATGGATGTTTACGCTAACTTTTAATCGTTTGTCTCAAATTCTCCTCACGACAAAGTAAAACTTTCAACCAAAAATTCAAATAGGCCTAGTTACTGGGCTAAAATTTCTAAATGTGGCTACACTATCTTTTTATCTTTGAAGGTTTAAATAGCCAGAATCTGAAGCACCTTTTCCTTTGTTGTGAGGAAAGTTTGGGAGAAACGGCTAAAAGTTTACGTGAACCTCCATAACTCAGAAAATATGGAAGATGGAGTTTCCAACTTGAGGAATAAATTCATCATACAGTGATTGAATTTTAAACACAAAATGAACTTTCTGTTGCAAATATTTCTAGGACATCAAAATTTTACTGCACTATCTCCTCAAGAGAATTGAAAATAGTAATAGTTACACTGCGAAATTGAGATTGGAACTTGGAATTATTTTAGCTGCCTAAAGCGCATACATACTCTTCCTGCTTAGGTCAGCAGCAGCCGCCTGTTGAATCGGAGCCCTCTTTGACCATAAGTACTGACGGCGACAGTGCCACTCATCCAACCGATTGCCGGTCACCATATAGCCAAAACAGTTAAAATAACCGAACGGCACTAAACTACACTGCCAAACGACCAAGGTCCGACTCTTTCGTCACATGACCTTCCCTGACGACCCATCTACCCACTGCGAGAGCATTGCGACCATCGCGCCGCTTAGCCACATTCAAACATCGCGATTTTGGCGCGCTTCCGGCCAAAGCAAACATGGCCGAAACGCCGCAGCCAATGGGAGGCACGAACAGGCCTTTCGCTTCTCTCACGCCCTGTCTTAATTACACTGAGGATGAAAACGTTATGATCAGTACCCAATTTCGGGCGAGGTATACTTCATCACCCAAATTTGGGAAGAAAAGGTGTATCAGCTTACCTACATGGCTCAATAGTATTATGACCCAAATTTGGGTGAGGAAACCTTCCTCACCCAAATGTGGGTGTTCCTCGCCCAAAATTTTAGTCACTTTCATTCGCAGTGTACATGGGAAGGTTATCCTCGTCAGTGTGAGGGGGGAGGGGATCAAAAAGTGGCCTAGAATCGTACGTAATCTTGATACGACCCGTATAGGGACTTCGCAACTGGGGATCCGCGGCAGCGCATCCGGTGGGCTTCACTAGATTCAGACTCTTTTCATACAGCTCGCAATGTAGATTTCTTACACTCTCATGCGAATTTTTTCGTACAAATGATGCATGCTTAGTTTTAGCGTGTATTTGGCATGTATGCACTATAGTAAGTGCATGCTTGGCAGGCATGCGCTAGCCAGAGCGTACTTGCAGGCATGCTCCAGGCAGAGCATACAATGTACGCTATTCGATTTGTAGAGCTCTTGCAGTAATTACAACAGCTTGATGCAAATCTGATTTCAGTGTCTGCAACACTTAACGAGCAGAGGCAATCCAAAGAATGGCGCGCAACAATGGCAGCTTTGCAACTCGTTGCTTCCTTCCCCTTGGTGCTGATGTCCAAACAAAAAAGTCGAGAGATATTGGGAAGCACGCAAAGCCGCCAATACAAGGATGAATAAGTTTTATTGGAGCATTAAACAAATGAAGGGTTTAGTTTGCATGTTCACAATATTTAACCTTTTCCATAATCAGAGTTAATCCCAGCTTGCCATTGCATTAACATAATATTGTTACAAAATAAGTAAAAACGTACAATTGAGAACGCCATAATTCGGCATAAATAGTAAAAAGTTTAACATTTCAAAGAACTTTCACACAGAAGTTACGATCATCTGAAGGAAAACGGTACCGAATGCAGTCGATCGAAGTGAGCCTGTCAGTTGTGCACAGTAGGATTTCATAAATAGTCGTGAATAAATATTTTGATTCCGGCACCAACCATTCCTTCATCGGGAACTGGTTTTAAATAGCAATTTCAACCAGGTCGCGAATAAGGACCATTTGTGCCTCAATACTGTCAGTGCTCTGGCTTGGATCCACAAACAATGCAGGTAATTTCTATGAAAAGAAGATAAATGAAACCTGTGCGGTTAAGCAATTGCCTAAAACCAGGTTGTTGCTTAATACCTTGGTAAATTATACTATAAATTACTGAATGAAATAAGAACTTAAATGCAGCAAATTGAATAAATCGGACTTGGTAGACAGTGTGCCTGCCTAAACATACCAGAGCCACCTTCGGCAGTCCCCGGGGCAGCCGGGCCGCCTGGTGTGCGCCGAGAAGGCGGACTGCAGGCCTGCGTGCGTCCGGAGCTCGTCCCGGTGGCAGCGCCAGAGGCACCACCGACAGGCACAGTCGTCCTCGAGGGTGGGAGGGCCTGACAGGCGGAGGTGGAGCCCCGCGTTCCTCGCGAGGACGTCCTGCACGGCCGGGTCGTGCAGCCAGGCGTGGGGGCAGCGGTGGGGCACAAGTTGCAGCGTGGCAAGGCGCGGCGTGGAGGCGGGGCTCACTGCCCGGAAGAAATCGTCCGAGGGCATGGCGTCCAATTCAAGGGCGAGTGCTCGCAGGGATGGGAACCGCTGAAGTGCCGCGGCCACAAGCGAGTCTTGCACACCGTGTAAGGACAGTCTTTCCAGAACGGGGGCGGACGGCGACTGGGCCAAAGCCTCCAGAAGGGCAGCGCCGAGAATTGGGTGGTTGGGTTCGAAGTCAAACTCCACGGTCCGCAAGCGCGGCCCCTGAAGGAGGAAGTCCACTGTTCCCGGACAAGGTACGTCCTGCACTTCGCGATCCAACAGCCCAAATGAATCCAGGTCTGATAAGCTTTTCAGCTGAGATAGGTCATCAGTGAGACGGCACCACAGGGAGCGCAGCCTGGGCATCGATCCCAACAGGGATGTGGGGAGCCCATCCGCCAGGAACAGAACAACATCCTCAAGGGTGGCCGCGTGCGTACGCAATAACGAACAGAGGAAAGGGTCAGGGGCTGCACCTAGGTACGCGAGTACAGTTAAGGAAGGCCTGGGCTCCAGGTCTGACAGTAGAGGCGGTAGCTGTGACATGTCCGAGTGAATGTGTACATTCAATACGCTTAAGTCTTGAACGCCGTAAACCATAAGCAGGAGGGGATGCAAAGCCTCGGGGGCGGCACGGTGCAGATATAGGCGGATATCCCTCAAGCCGCCCAGAGTGGAGAACCTTTGCACTATGGCGGTGGCCCAGGCAGCATCGGTCTCATTCTGAACGGACAGCTTGAGGTCGGTGACGACGCATTTGGTGTTGAAAACGGTGCAGGCCGCAGCCTGCAGGTCCGGCGAGAGCAGGGTGACTTCGCGGAGGCAGGGGGCGAGTCTGAGCGCGGCTTGGAGAAGGCCTTTGTCACCGCCAGACAGGCCAACGGAGCGCCAAACGTCCCGGTGGAGGCTCAGGTCCCGGAGCCGCCGACACACCAATCGGAGGCGGAAGACCTCTCTGGGCGGCAGGAGGGCCAACACGCGCACCAACGCGTCGTCCGGCAGGGCCAGCAGCTGTGGGCACAAATCGGAATAGGAAATGGGCTTGAGTCACTGCAAAATACGCCTAAGTTTGAGACGGCAAATGTGCGGAAAATGGGAACGGAAAAAGTACGCACGGTTAGGGGGCTCGTACATGTTTAAAGCATTTTGTAAAAAAAAATAATTTTTAAGCCAAAATGAAGCTTACCGAATTATCTAAAAGGATTTCAACACAGAAATTGTAAAATCTTGATCCATCTACATCAAAAAAAAAATTTTACGAAGTGCTTTTAACATGTATGAGCCCCCTTAAAACCTTACGAAGAATTTTGAGAATACATAATTACGTACAAGGTGCAAACTTGTAAGTTTGTGGTATGAAGAAATTGTTCGTAAATTACGAAAAATTTTCTTTGTAAGCTTACGCATGGTCTAAGCACTTTGTTACATGAAGTCACATAAATTGGCAAGGCTTAATTCAATGTAGAAGTTGGCGTTGTTTAGCGAAGAATTTGGCGATGAATGCTTCGGCTATTTAAGGATGGCTCGTTTTATGAACCTTTCGTAATTTTGTCGAAAAAAGTGCTTGCAAATGCCTGAAAAGGTATTTAGATTTTACGAACCATTCATGAAATAATGAACCATTCATCGTAAAATTGTTCGTAACTTTAAAATTTTTCCATGAAAATCGGCTTGTGTAAGTAAGTGCAGTTACACAAAGTGTGGATAGTACAACAAAAGTACAACAAAAACTGTACAATAAAAGTACAACGAGAATTGTACAAACCACAACGAGCCCTGGACTGCACAGCACTCGTCATGCCGGTTCCATTGTACTTTGTACTACAACTGTTGTACTTGAAAAGTACACAAAATTCCTGATAAAAAATTTGCCAGAAATTTGTGTACTTTTGTTGTGGTTATTTCCTGCAGTGTAGGACACTACTAGGGATGAGTCTCCCTGTTTTTTCCCCCCACAGATCTGAGCAAGAATGCGAACAAAATCTTATGAGAACCAAAATTTTAAACGTTTCCACTTAATTTCCAAAAAGTGTCCAAAGCCACTTAACTGTATGTCAAAATAAAGCTTACTCAATTATCTAAAAGGGTTTTAATACAGAAATCATAAAATCTTGATCCTTCTACACACCAACAAAATGTTTCCACAAAGTGCTTTTAACATGGATGGACTCACTCAAAACTGTAGCTGACGGAACTTCAGGGCCTTTTAAATGGAGAGAGAGTAACAAAACAGCGCGAAAAGAGTTGACTGGGTGCCCTTAACAACAGTTATTCCCTTCTTCCGCTTCCTGGATCAACTAACTTGAAGGTTTGGAAAATAATTTTTGAATACACTGCTAATCCAAGTGTGGACCGGTAGCGTGGACCACGATGGTCCACGCTATGAAACATGGACCACGAATAGTCCACACTTGCACTGAGAAAACCTTACAAACTATTTTGGGCCTTACAAAGAAAAGTAGTTTGTATAACAAAGTATTTTGAGCATACATAAGCTTACAAAGAAAAAACTTCGTAATTTACGAACTATTTCTTCGCATAACAAAGTATTTTAGTTTGTTATATGTGTGCTCAAAATACTTCGTAAGGTTTTAAGAGTGTGGAAGTGTGACTGGCCTATGAGGAGTTCAACGCTGTGAAGCGTGGACCACAGGTTGGTCCACGTTTCCTAGCGTGGACCAATCGCGGTCCAGGTTTCCTGGCTCCGCAGCCTTCGAGAAAATCTTCACCGGTGGTGCAGCCTTTCACCGCAAGACATTTTCTTAGTGTACTGAGTGAACATTTTCAGTGCACAAGTATATGCATTGACTACGATTTCAGGTTTTGAACACGGACTTCGAATTTCAAAAAAACTTGAATGATACGTACTGATTGATCCATGCTGAAGACCTGGCGGAAGTGGCGAGGAGTCGGAATGCAACGAGCTGTCCCCTTCCGAAGGTTTCTCGTGTGCGGAAGTCGTAGGTATTTCCTAGGACGTCCTTCTAGTGGTGGACACGCCGATCAGAACCTGCAGAACACACAAAATGGGTCATCTGTGGTCATAAGAGGCTCTGGCTCTAACGTCCGCGCCATTGGAGGAGACCAAGGGAAAAACAACGTCAACAATCTATGTACACCGTTATTTAAAATTAAGTCACATTAATTCAAATTTATTTCCCAATAATTCAAGTGGAAACGTACACAAAACATCAAGTAATTTCCACCTCGGAAGAGACAAACACTCTTAAGTACCTTGCCAAGAATGTGTTCGCATAACAAACGAACTTATTAAACGCTCGCAGTTCGGGCCTGGAAGTGGCCTAAGAGAGGTGAGAGTCTTAATACTAAGCTAAGTACTCTACGACACAAAGCTGTCATAAAACAGGGAAATTGGCGTTTGTAAAATGAATTGAGTGGTCATGAGCTACTGAGAACTCTTCACCAAGGGCTACTACCTTCGCTGCGCAGTCAGACTCTACAAACTGGGGTGTGTACTCAGTCACATATACAGATGCATTAAGAACACACCTACAGATGCATACCTTACTCATCCAAGTATGCATCTGCAGAGAAGTTCTCAGCTGAGTATGCATCTGCAGATGTTCCTCAGCTGAGAATGCATCAGCAGACGTGTACTCAGCGAAGTAAGCATCTGTAGATGTGTACTTGCACGTATGCATCTTTAGACGCATTCTGAGTACACACTTCAGTTTGCAGAGGAATACTAAGCTTTTAGTTCGTATTCACTGTCAGAAATTTTGTCGTAAATTAGCGACAAAAACGTCGCTAATTTTGATAGCGACAGAAATCGTTCTGAAACTACTTCGTCGTAACTGAACGACGAAAAAATCATTTCTCTACGACAATGTCGTAATCGCGATTACATATTTTGAAATCTGAAATCCCCGAAAAGTTGATGAAAAGTTGCAATTGTGCTCGCTTATTTACGATTTGTGTCGTTCATTTACGATTCATGACACAAATTTACGACAAGATTCGTAAATGTACGACTGAAGTCATAACTGCACGACATATTCAAAAGATAAATTACGATCGTTCGTAAAATTACGATTAAGTTGTAAATTTACGACTTAATTCGTTTCAAAACGGAAGGTCTCGCTATCAAAATTAGCGACAAATATGTCGTAAATTTACGACTCAAGTCGTATATTTACGACTTGAGTCGTAACCAAATATGTCGTTTTAAAACGACATAATTGTTCTTCAAAATGTCGTAAATTTACGACGATTTTTAACAGTGTTACGAAGAAAAAGCTCAGTAGGATATTGGGAGTGTAGTATTTGCACGCAGCCTTCTCTTCAGGCCCTATTACGCCTATACCATCCTCAGCAATCACCTCCGTACAATTTATCGTGCCGTTTCGGGCGGTGTGAGATCAAGTGGAGCTGGTACACTAGACGGTGTCGTGTTCGTGCGGGCTCCGAATTGAACACGGACAGTTTCGCCAATTCTCGCTGTGACTCGGGGGGACCAGAAGTGGACGCGTACCGCGGCAGCAGCAGTTCACAAAGCGAAAGGGCGTGAAAGAGGAGCACCAGAAAATTCCCCGAATCAGAGCTTTTGAGGTAAGATCATAACCTACATGAAAGCACATTACCATCGATTTGGACGTGACTAATGCTAGACAGCTGTTTTTTACTCGTTCTTTACACACAAACAAATGAAAAGTGGTATAGTGAAGAGAACGAGTATTGTGCTCAAAAATTTTTTTTCAGAGGATATCATTCATCTCAGAACTTACAACATGTACAGAAAAGACAATGGTATCATTTTAAAGTGCAGAAGTCCGTCAGTAAATCGTAAACGGATTGTTTTTCGACTTTCAATGGAATATTTTGAGAAAACGAACATGTAAAAAACGAGATTTTGGGGCCGGTGTCGAAACTAACCTCATTTCAACCTCTTACATCTTTTCAGCAATAATGGTACCCTTTAATTAACCATTACGAACATGAACTCCTACACTCAGTTAATATAAAACCTGGAATGTTTTTTATCACGCACAATGATAAATTCGGAGAAATATCAGGTTAAAGATCGTGTTGAATGAGCTTCGGCTGGACTTCGGCAGGCCGCTCCGCGCGCCGCTCCGCGCGCCCCTCCGGGGGTGCCGAAGCGGGGGCGCGGAATTCAAAACACAATGTAGAGCGGCAGAGCCTCTCTCAACACATTGAACAGGGGCAGGATAAGCGAGGTGATGTAGATTATTTACAATCCACTTTTCATTTGCATAATAGTAAAGAACGAGTCCTTTCATCTTAATATCAATTGATTGATATTAAACACCACTTTGTGTTTTTAGCTATTGCTTTACTTCTTGTTTTTTTTTTACCCACACGGTCAAAAATGTTCAAACTCGGCATTAAAGCCAGCCGCGCAAGCAAATTTAGAATTTTGGACAGTTGCCTGTCGCAACCACTGAAAATCCATCGGCGTGACTTCGTGCCGCTGCAGGGGCGTGAATTAAGTGTCACGCCAATAAACGGCATGACACAAAAGTCACGCCAAAAATCGGCATGACTCAAAAATTCACGCCAATGTTTGGTGTGAATTTCTTGTCATGCCGCTTTTTGGCGTGACTTGTCTCAGAAAACGCGTTGTCATTCACGCCAAATGACGGCGTGACTCACATGTCACGCCGTTTATCGGCGTGAATTTCGTGTCACGCCAATTTTTGGCGTGACTTTTTGTCACGCCATAACTTGGCTATGTGTCTGACCATTACGTTTTCAGTGACGGTGGCGTCCGAAAGTTGTTCAAGTTCGATTTGGAGACTTGAGACCCCACGACAGTTGGGAGCTAAGGAATGATCACAGAAATAAAGAGTCTGTAATAGAGTTTCATCCGAGAACCGGAAATACAAAGGCCGTGTGACACGCTTAAAATTTTACTGAGTGTTATGAGTATACATAGTACAAACTTATTTACTCTGTTACGCGAAGAATAGGGTATTCCAATGCTCTTCCAGAACGAAAGTGATAGATAGCAGTTTTGATGAGAAATTTACGCGGCGAAGTTCATCCGCCGCGTAGATTTCGCATATTAACTGCCATTTTTGACTTCTCACTACCGTTCTGGGAGGGCGTTGGAACCCTGTAAGTTCGTAAATTACGAAGTGTTTGGTTAGCTTATGTATGCTTTTTTAGCAAGGCATGTAATTTGTAAGGTTTTCAGAGAGCTGGCTTCGAACGGCTGGAATCGAAACTCGATTGTGCGCGAAACCCGCGGTAAATTATCGGTCTCCTGCAATAAGACAGACTTTTTGAAAGAACGATTCCTACCCTTCAACTCCGGTTTCCTGCCTTCGTTTTGGAGTCTCTGTGATTCCTCATTTCTCTCGGAAGTTGCCTTAGGTATGAATTCGCAGCAGGGCATACACTGATTCCGAAACCGGAGGTTAGATCAATTTACTAATTCCGCTACATCACTGCAACGCCAGCGGCATGTTTTTTCGCCAAAAATTTGTCAAGCTGATCTGAATTCCAAGATTTGTCAAGCTGTTACCTCGAACCTTCAAGTGCTCGCCAGATTTTGGCAAGCCGGAGAGTAGTTCGGGGCCAAGCTTGCCTATCGTTGGCAAATCAAAACGGCTTGATGTGGTAAGCACACTTAGTGCTGGCTTTGCTACTTTGGCGGCAATAGTCGTCTGGGCCACTCGGTACGTTGTGTCATACGAACTCACGGTGAAAACGGAACCTGGTTTTTGCAGGAAGCCTATGGTAAAGACATAGGTGATTTCCAGGGAGTTCCTGGGAAAACCAGGAACCGTTATTGCCGTGTGGTGCGTCTGAAATGTTGCGTCCGAATTTTGACGCACAGGATGCCGAGACTCGCCCGTTGGTCCGGTCAACCTTGTTATATGATAGCACGCTCGCTCAAGCAACATTGTGCGATACGTCGTTCTGAGAATTACGGGTTGAGCCTTTCTTTTCTCTGAAATCGGCGCTTCCAAGAATAATCTAGTGTCAAGAAATCGTCGGAGCTTTTCATCTTTCGTCGGCGTTTCAATACAACAAGGTTGGTGTACGCCAGACCGTGTCTTGTCGTAACAGGCTTAGCGATGCTGCGCCAGTTACGACAATCCACGCCTGGCGTTTACACCTACCTTGGCCTGCGGCGCTTGCTGCTTGCATTCGGCAAGCCGTCGCAGACAATTATGTTGACGCAATGAGTAGAGTACTCCGTGGAGATGGAGTCATAAAGGGTTCACAATCGAAAATAGCCATATTTGTCAGGCAACTGTAACTCTTTGCAACCGAGGCCCGTCAAAAGCGCCAAACGCCGAGGCACCGATTGCTACAGCTCTGATAGTCGGGCCCCCAGACTCCCCTTCCGACCCATCACGCGTGTGCGGAGCAAAGACTGCAGTTCCTCTTTTACTTAGATGGTGGTAGTACCTAGATTGAGTACTGCCACTGCCCTTCCACGGTTTTGTCGCGATCCGCCTTTGAAAATTAGCTGAGCTTAATCACGCGGCGCCATTTCACTGTCGCCACTGAGAGCGAAGGAGTCACAATCCTGAGTTAGAATTGGGCGAGGTATTCTTTGACGCCCAAATTTCGGTCAGGATTATTTCATCGCCCAAATTTGGGTGGTATAAAATAACCCGCACCCAAATTGGAGCGCTACCTCGTCCGAATTTAGGCATTGGTTCAGACTCTTTCATTCTCAGTGCGGTCTCATGTAACCTGGTCTACTGAGAATGAATCTAATTATGTGTTTCAGAACACCATGGAAACTTTGATCACCAAATTCAACGCCATCCAGGACCAGTTCCGGTTGCTCAGGGAAGATCCCATCGAGCTGCCTCAGATTGTGGTCGTCGGGATTCAGGTATGTGTTGATGTGCTCCTCCGTGACCGCACTCTCGGTGCACTCTTAAAACATTTCGAAATATTTTGAGCATACATATAATATAACAAACTGAAATACTTTGTTATGCGAAGAAATAGTTCGTAAATTATAAAGTATTTTTTTTGTAAGGCCCAAAATAGTTTGTAAGGTTTTCTCAGTGTGTGTTTGCGACAGGTGCGGAAAATTTGTATTTATTTGAGTCTTAAAACCACGTTTGTTTTTGTTTTTCTTGATAGAGCGCGGGCAAGTCCTCGGTGCTGGAGGCGATCGTGCAGCAGTCCTTCTTGCCTCGCGGCACCGGCATCGTGACCCGCTGCCCGCTCATCCTGCAGCTCATACACTGTCCCGTGGGGGACGCCCTTCGCACCACTAAAGGTGAGCACACTGCCAACCCAACTGTCTGCCAGTTCGCACTTACAAATAGAAACTTCCACCAGAGCGCTTAGTGAAGAACAAGAAGAATAACAAAAGGCGGAAACAGTCCTTAAAAGTCGCCCATTTGTCCATATTATGGGTTCATTTGGGTTCTAAACAATGTTTAAAATTAGTCAAAGACGAGTTTTATGATTTTAGACCTCCAAAACCTATAAATGAGACGTTTATGGGAACTGGTTCCGGTACCATTTCTTCCTCTTGTTCTTCACTCGGCGTTCTGGTGGAAGTGTCTATGCCTTGGTCTATGCGCACTTGCAAGTGATCCATGAAGCGGAAGAAGGGGATATCTCTATTTTCATCATTTTTCTGGAGAATCATAAAACTGTTTGCATAGGGTAAACGTAATGCAAGAAGATGAATGATGCAATTGCATTTTTGTAAAGAAAGCCTAAGAAATAAGTGTGAGAATTTTCTAAAGTGTAGCATCACTCTGTAGACGGTTTCTGTGATTTAGATCTTTATGTTGGTATGGACTACGGAACCGTGTTTACTTAGTTCTCCCAAACTAGGCGGAATTTGGAGACTATTCAAGTGGAGCTGAAGTCTGCGTAGAGTCTGTTTCTGTGGTGCATGTTTGGAGTTGCCTCTTTTATCCATCAAGTGATGGGGATTTAAGTTGAGTTGATTCTTTTTACACTAGATTCACAAAGACCCAAGCTGAGTTATCTCCTTTTGCCATTTTATGGAATGGAGTTATGTGGACTTCGGTTGAGTTACCTCCATTTTCCAATGAAATTTAGACCGTAAAAGGAGTCAAGTTGAGTTATATCCATTTTTCATGAGGATTTTCTCCTTAACTGTAAGGAATTGGGTCAAACAATTAATTTGTTGTAATGATGCAAATCATCCTGAGGCACAATAATAAGATAAAACTCGATTTGGAGATAAGTCGAACCATCCCCTCATTCCGCTTCCTGGATCATGTAATACTTCGCAATGCATAGTAAATAGTGTGTAAGAGAGTTCACAATACAATACCGGAGAAAACTTCGCAAGGGTTTTTGAGTGCGTTTGAAAAGAAATCTGCTTTCCTTAGGTTCTTCTATTAATTGTCTTAAGATAAGAACACTGCTTTATTTGTGCTCTTCTGACTGTATATCTGACGATTCCTGACTTCCAGGTACAACTGGTGTCGAAGAATGGGGCGAATTTCTCCACGCTGGAGGGCGCATCTTCAAAATGGATGAAATTCGTCATGAAATCGAGAAGGAGACAATCAAGCTGGCTGGAGTCAAGAAAAACATCTCGCATGACAAGATCACCTTGAAAGTCTTTTCTCCTAAGGTCCCCAACCTCACTCTTGTCGACTTACCTGGAATCACAAAGGTACGCCGCGTGCACTGTTATAGCCTTGTCTTATTGCACCCCGCAGTACTTCTTTCGTTTAGTCATTATCGAACTGGTCGAGACAGCAGCTAGGTAGCATAGCAGTCTTAAGCCTTGAATTGAAGTGGCTTCGACAAGTCCGTGTTGTACTTTTTGTTCGTTACGGCGCTCTTGAAGTGGGGATAGAAACAAGCTCGTTGCCATGTTAAGTTGCGTTGTTTATATTATTTTTTTAGGTGTTGTGGGAGTCTGCTCTTGGTCTGATCTGTGATGTTTTGTTTTGCCGCAGGTGCCGGTGGAGGGACAACCTCAGGACATCGAAAATCAAATCTGTGATTTGGTGTGCTCCTACATCGACAATCCCCTCAGCATTATTCTCGCTGTGGTGCCCGCCAACATGGACATGGCCGCCAACGAAGGGTTGAAATTGGCCAAGGAAGCGGATCCGGACGGCACTCGAACCCTGGCCGTCGTCACCAAGCTGGACCTCATGGACCAAGGTAAGCGTTGGACTAGAGACATCGTATGCTGTGAGCCCAACAGTATGACATCACTTCTCTCCTACGATTTTTACGCTAAGATATTCTGATATTTTCCCGCGGTCCTCTTACGACCGAAAGTAATGTACCACTTCAGATTCTGTTTTCTGTAAGGAATGTGGTTTAGTCATTTGCTCTGTTTTTCTCGTATTCCAGGAACTGATGCGTACGATGTTCTTTCTGGGAAAGTCATACCTGTGAAACTGGGCATAATTGGTGTGGTTAATCGTTCTCAGCAGGCTATCATGGACAAGAAGGTAATGTTACGATATTGGTTCAGAGTTGTTTTGTCTTTCTGTTTGTGTCCGCACTCTAAAAAGTCTGCAAAGCTTTTGCTATTCGTAAATCCGAAGAAAATGAAGGTACTGCAGAATCGCTTCGTATTTTGCATCGTAATCCGAAGCGATTCTTCGTAGAATTTACAATGCCTTTGTTACTTTCACATAGAATTTTTACTATGCGAAAATATGAAGTGCCATCTATTTAGTAGGTGCTAACACTTCACTGTCCAGGCTCTTGGAACAGTACACTCTCAATATTTCTTTTTCACTTCCGCCTATTTCTCTTATTTCTCTCTCTCTTCTTTAAGCAGCTAAGGCAAAATATTTAAAATAGTGAAATTTTGCTGCCCAGATTTTTGGTGATGATGCTTTCCAGCCACCAGGTAGCAGGTACACTGTTTATCACGCACATTTTCGAGAAAAAATATCCTTGCTCAAATTTGAGTGTTAAAGTTCACCTCGCTCACAGTATTGAGGAAAAATCTTTCATTCTTAGCGATGACATACTGCCTATCCAATCTAGTGGCAGTTACTGAATTAGTCACGTGCCTACGCACTCACTATGTCGACTTTTTTCAGTCAATTGATGATATGCTGCGGGACGAGCGTGAGTTCTTGAAAAAGAAGTATCCAAGTCTAATTGGTTGCAACGGGACCCCTCATCTCACCAAGACCCTCAGTGAACTGCTTCTCGCCCACATCAAATCTTGCTTGCCACGGGTGAAGGTAACATAATGCGTTTTTGTAAATACAGTCCTTCACTGGTACAATTTAAGCGTAACTCTATGCTTGTCTCAAGCATAAAGTTACGCTTGAAATGAAGCATACTCTGGAAATTCCCCCATGCATTAATATAGTGGGAATCTTGGCGGAAGAGCCTGTTACGCCTGATTTCAAGCGCAAACTCACTCTTAAAACCTTACGAAGTATTTTGAGCATACATATAACAAACTAAAATACTTTGTTATACGAAGAAATAGTTCGTAAATTACGAAGTATTTTCTTTGTAAGCTTACGTATGCTCAAAATACTTTGTTATACAAACTACTTTTCTTTGTAAGGCTGAAAATAGTTTGTAAGGTTTTCTCAGTGCTGATAACGCTTCAGTCTTACCAGTGTTTGGCCCGCAATATTCGTTGTGATTCTATACCACATTCTGTTTTCCCCCTCCCTGTAGGCTCGTGTGCAAACTGAAATCAGCACTTGCGAAAACATCATCGAGGCCTGTGGCGCCAACGTGGAGGACAAGAAGAAGTATTTGAGCCGAGTGTTATCTGACTTTTGCAACGAGTTCTCTAAGGTTCTGGAGGGCGGGCAGCCAGCCTTTCAATCATCAAAGCTGTAAGTACGATCGTCTGCTGTTAATTATGAAACACGGGGTAAGAGTGGGTCATCTGTTTCCTGGGTCAAGATGTGAAATTTTAGAACTCATGCGAAATCAAATGTTATCTAATTAATTCACCAGGAAATAACGATGTTACCTTTTCACCCCGTGTCCCATGATTTGACCCGACCTTAAGTGTTGAGATTAGAAGCCGGAATCGTCTGCATGGAGAGGATTCTCTTGATGCTGGTCATGAGCTGCATTTTTATTTGCACCCTCAGATTCGTATGATGAAAGGGTCATCGTAACATACGTTGAAATGAGAACATACACTAAAAAGTTGGGGTGCCCAGACACTGGGCGCTTATGTCACCCGCCTCACTTTTAAGGGTGCCATATGTCGCCCAGTTTCTGGGCACCTTTGTCGCCCAGTCTCGGGATGCACAAATCATACAGTAACTGGCCCTCTCCTATGGTAGAGCATGCACAGGTGTCTTTGTTCCCGGGCGACTGAGGTGCCCAGATTCTGGGCACCTTTGGCACTTCAGTCGCTGCTGAGCGCCATGGGTGAAGGCAGGTTTCTTAATGGTTTGTCCACCCCGAGACTGGGCGACATTTGGCACCTTAAAAAGTGGTGCGGGCGACAAAGGCGCCCGGTTTCTGGGCACCTCTACAATAAAATTCATGCGTAATACGATGAAATTCTTGCTTAATACGATGAAATTCATGCGTATTACAATGAATGTATGCACTTACGCTGAAAACTAAGCCTATTACGTATGTGCGAATTTATGCGTGCCTTACGATGAAAAACCATCGTAATACGTATAAGAACGTATAAGAACGCAAGGAGATTTTTTTGGCTGAAAATCCATTAAAATCTGTCACCAAACTTTCAACGCCCTTTTCTCCAAAGACATTTTTTTAATATTTTAATGGTCCTGTGCGCATACAGTTTGAAGTGTCGTCAATGATATTTTTTCCACTGACTCAGTAGGTTATTGCGAGGAATTGCAAGTGACAGTTTTTGTATATTCCACCCAGAAGTATGGTTTTGGATATCGGTTTTTACAAAAATAAGGGAAAATCTTTGGTTTTTGAAAAATGTCAAAATTGAAAAGTTGGTATTTTGCTATCAGTGCCGGAAACTAAAATCTGTCACTTGCGTTTGTTCTTTGGACTTAGACGAACAAAAAAATATGTCGGTCAGGTCAATAACCCAAAATGGGAAACGCACAGGAATTTTTTAACAAACACTTACAAAATTATAAAAAAAGCCTGTATCTCAAGAACCGCTTGATATTATGGGATGGGAATTTGGGTGAATTAGTTTTTCCTCAGGAGTAAGATTTTGACAGAAAATAAGAAGTTTTGGACCAGCAGTTTCTGAGATCATTTTTTCACCTGTCCCTGGCCTTAATTTACTAACTTTTTCTTTCAATTCGCAGGCTGATTGGCGGTGCCAAGATCTGCTACCTCTTCGACAGGCTGCAGAAGCGCTTCACGGCGGTGCAGCCCTGCGACCTGTACTGCCTGGAGCGCGTGACGATGATGATCCGCAACGCCAGCGGGCCCAGGCCGCCCTTCCTCGTGTCGGAGCAGGTCCTGGAGGACTTGGTGAAGCCGCTGATTGCCGACTTCCGCGAGCCCTCCCTGTCCTGCGTCAAGGCGGTCATGAACGAGCTCAGGAACGTGTTCGCGGAGAAGTTCCCCAGAGACGCCGGACTCCGCTTTCCGTTGATCAAGGACAAAGTCGGGGAGATCCTGGAGAACACCATGAACGAGTACTCCAAGGCTGCCCTCCACATGGTGAGAGCTACACACTAAATTTTTATGGACGTTTTGAATGCATAATTATGCAATTTTTATGCATAGTTATGCATGCGCAGATACGTCCATAAGGTATGTATAATATTATGCGTCATTGTGTACATTAGTTGCTGGAAGATTCTTACTTTTAAAATGTACACCGTTATGCATACTATTATTCATACCTTATAAACGGCGCTGAAGTCTGTTCTCACTATAAATTATGATCCAGGAAGCGGAAGAAGGGAATAACTTGACTTATCCCCAAATTGAGTTTGTATTTTAATATTGTGCCTTAGAATGGTTTCCATCACTACACCAAATTATTTGACTGAATTCCAAGCAGTTTAGGAGAAAATCCACATGGAAAAAGGGTATAACTCAACTTAACCCCTTTTACGGTCTAAATTTCATTGGAAAATGGAGATAACTCAACGGAAGTCCACATGAGTCCGTTTGACAAATTGGCAAAAGGATATAACTTAACTTGTATTTTTATGAATCTTGTGTAAAAAGAATCAACTCAACTTAGCCCCCCATTAATTTTAAATTTCAATTTGGAAAAAAGAGCTAAGTCCAAAAAATACACCAGAGTAACATACACTTTATGCAGACTATTGTTCCACTTGACTTGTCTCCAAATTCCTCTTTGTTTAGGAAATATAAGGTGAGCTGACTCTGTTTTCCATTTCAACGGAAAGCGATAAGTCGCAGAAATCCTCTACGGAGTGACCTTACACTTTTTATTTTTTTTTCAAAATTTTACTAATGCTTTTTGAAATTATTAACATCTGCAACATTCATTTGTTTTGTTTTAGTTTTCCCTCCTAACAGTTTTTGGTTTCTCCTGGAAAATGGCCAAAATTGAGTTATCCCCTTCTTCCGCTTCCTGGATCAAATATTTATGGACTTAATTTATGCATAGTTGTGCATGCACAGGTTCTGTGCATGTACAACTATGCATAAAAAAAGGCCATAAAAATTTATAGCGTATATAGACTTGATCGCCCTAAGTGGCGAATTTGTTACGGAAGTGGTTTTCTTTGATTGTTCTTAACCACGAAGGGCCATAGAAGGCTTCAAATTAACTCTCGAGTTCGCTTTGGCTGCAGGTTCTGTGACATATTTTCACAAAGTGAAGATATAATCTTCTTGGTCCTTTAATTTTTCTTTGTACTTAGGGAAGCTCGAGTGCCTCCTTCTTTTGGTGCCAAGTGGCCAGGTTTTTTTCCTCTTTTTGGAACAGTCCCCTAAGTTAAAGTCGGAATATAAGTAGTTTTGCCTGAAATTTTTTCTGAGGTGTATACTTGGCAACTTGGAGTGTGGAAATCAATGGCATGCATTTGTCCTGCAATCACGTGTATGCAATGGCTTTCAGGGAAAAGTCATGGTAAAGTCATGGAATTACATATTCTCAACCTTGTAACTACCCTGCTCTCTCCTCGGCCGGGATTCCAAAGCTGTGGGCAGACCAGCGATACAGCTGATATTTCGACTTCACAGTCTTTCACTGAAATATGCGCTCCGTTGCAGGTTAATGCCACCATCGACATAGAGCTGGCACACATTACGTACGGCCAGTTTGAAGATCTCGTGGAGAAAGAGCTGCATAACATTTTCGCTGCTGAGTCTAAAGAGGGAGCTAAATCCAACACAATCTCAACCCCACCCCCACCGAAGAAGAAGTTGTCAGGCTCCAATTCTGCAGTCTCCAATTTCCAGTTCTCCAGTCCTCCACTCTTCGGTACTTCATTCCCCACTTCTGCTGCGGAGCCTCTGGTCAGCGCTCTGCCCGCTGTGCCCGCCATCTCTTTCGGCGAGTCGCCTTCTCCCGTGAACCTGGGAATCATATCCAATTTCGCTTTGCCATTCAAACGGGACCCCGACTTCGTGGTCTCGCTCAAGAAGAAGTTGAAGGTTGCCGAATGGGAGGAGAATGAACCCATCCGATCGGAAAAGCAGCTGCAGGAAATTCTCAAACTCAACCCCAACGATGAAAAGCACATGATTATCTTAGGTTTGTGTTTGTGGCTTTGTATGACACTCTAAATGCAGACGCACTATCTTGGCGCTGCTTTTCTGAGAAGGCAATGCCGAACCGTGCGCATCGTAAATTGCATAGTTTTCCTATCCTACTTTTTCCATAGTTAGAAATAGATTACACTCTCAGACTCGTTTCGACTTTTTTCTCTCCATTATTGACTTTTTGTCCTTTGCTTACGTAGTTTTTTAAGCAGCAATAATATGTGTTATATCCTTTGTAACCATGTACAATATTGTTCACTATAAAGACTAAATTGTCATCAATTATTGACTATTTTTTAAGTCAATTGCGTATTGACTTTGTCAATAGCAAATTGACTTAAAGTCAATATAACGAATGAAATCTTACATAGATATTGACGAAATAGTACCCTTTATTGCTGTGTAAAATACTCTTAGGACAAAAAGTCAATAACAGTCTGAGAGTGTATACGACTTCGCATTAGCATATAGTACGTACACTGAGAAAACAAACGCGGCCAATTCCGCACGTGTGGTGCGGACAGGGACTTTGACCACGTTTGGTGACGCGGCCGAGGTCAGTCTCGTCGCATCACCAAACGCGGAATCCGCCACGTTTGCACCATGTTAAAGGATAGGGCCTCGATAAGCTTGACCACGTTTGCGCTCCGAATAGCGATGACCGCATCACGAAACGTGGTCAAATCTTAACAAAATTTGACCACACCACCTCGTGCGGAATTGGCCACGTTTGTTTTCTCAGTGTAGGCATTAAGTGTGTTTCCCTTCACTGGTGAAGCAAAGGCATAAAAATTGTGCCCTGTAAGGGCGTAAACGATTTACGCCCTTGTAGCGGCGTGAATCGTTGATGCCTTTTTGGAAGGGCATCAAAATTTTGCTCTAAATTCCTATATCATTCACGCCCTTCCCAAGGGCTTCAAATGATCTACGCCCCTAAAGGGCGTAAAAGAGTATTAATGTCCTCAAGGGCATAATTTTCATGCCTTTATTTTACCAGTGTCTTTGTCCTGAAAGTCTTTTCTGTTTTAATCTTCTGAACTTCGTTTGCGTTTGCAGGCGAGATGCTCAACCACTATTACAAAATGGTGTCGAACAAAGTGGCCGACAGCGTGGCCAAGACGGTGATGCACTTCTTGGTGCACGAAGTGAAGCGCTACCTCCACAGTGAGCTGACCGAAGGCATGTTCCCGAAGTCGGTGATGGACACTCTGTTTGAAGAAGACAGAGAGGTCGAAAAGAGGAGGCAGGACAGCCTCGACAAGCTGGAGGTGAGTTGCGAAACGGGAGTCACGAGCGTTGAGAATGGAAGTCACGAGCAGGACTAACGTTTTGGGTGAGGTCACTTGACGAAAACACAGCTGTGCTGTACGTGACAGGAGTGCACTTAATGTGTCGCTTGTGTGCAGAGTGGGTTTGCCGTTGGCGGTTTTGATATTTGTTCGATTGCGGGCTCTCATACCATTACACTGAGATTCCAAACGCTGTGAGTATAGCACTTAAAGTGGAATGCATTGAGATATTGCACCATACGTGCAATGCCACAGCCACATTGCACCTTACGTGCAATGCGTCCCGAAAATGCCCTATGCTAATCGATGGGAAGGCATTGCACTTCACGAGCAATGCAAAAGCATTGCACCAGTTGGAGCAATGAAAACGTCTTCAAATGCATTCCACTAATTGGCGCTTTACCCATAGCGTTTGGATTCTCAGTGTACAGATTCTGCCATTTCAATTGACTGTGAAGTAGTTGTGTAACTGATTTAAAACCCATCTCACTCTCACTGTTGGGTTGTATCTCCTCTTTATTGAACTGCTTGCAGAGACATTAACTTTTAATTGAAGTAACTTTATTTACTGTGCATGCAATCAGTCAGAGTTTTCTTATGTAGTTCAGAAAGTAGCCCCTGTAAGTTCCTAACTTGCAAGGAGTAACACTACATCCTTTCTCTTATGCCAAAATGAAGGAGTAACACTACATCCTTCATTACATTGTTGGGAGCAGTTTTAAATCTTAGCTCGGAATTCTAGATAAATCAATTAGTTAAGTGCTCTTATATTTTCCCGTCTTTTTTGTCGACAGGTGCTGAAACGGGTCTCCCGGGTGCTGCAAAGCGTATAATCGCTAGTTCCTCGCGACTCCTTCATTATTTCGTTTTTGTTTACTTTGAGCTCAGGTTTTTGTCTACGGTGTCTCTTTGTTGTCAATTTTCGTAGTAGGATGTAACCTCTAGTAAATGCTCTTTTTTTTGTTAAATAGAGGAAAACTATAAGGGTAAGATTTGTTTTGTCTGAGTTCCTTATTTTTGAGATCCCCTGAATTGGAGAATTGATGTAAGGAACCAGCTCGTTGACTGTGAGTTGTGACTCTGAGTAGGGAACCTGATGCAGCAGTGCTATGATCATTTTTATTGTTTCTTCAATCAAAGAAAATCGATGGAATGTTACAATCCGATTTCAAGATATAAAAGCAATGTTCCATTTCAATAATCTGCACGTGCTCCAGAAGCAGAAAAAAAACTGCAACTTCTTGTGAAACTAATCTCGTACCATATCAAAGAAGACTACGTACCAAACATCAATTTTTAACAACGAAAATACACACTAAATGTCTTGCGACGTTTTTTGTCCCACGATTTATGAAGTTTTAAGCACATCCGACGCTGATACAATTTTGTTTTGTTCCTGCCTGGTGACACATTTTGTCCCGCCTGGCGGACACAAAATTGCTTCACCCCCGGATGTGCTTTAAATTGAATAATTAAAAGGACAAAAAAAAGTCCCATGACATTTCGTATGTAAGTACTACAGTAGACGCTTATCTCTTGACATTCAGTCTAGTTGAATCGAATGCAGCATATCAAGTCACTAAAGGGAAAGTGTGGTTAATTTTGAGGGCACGCCTCAACACCGCTATAAAAACAATCTGATCTCACAAACGAATGTACAGAACATAAAAGCACAGGCGTGGATTAAAACAGTTAAAATGCGGTAAGAAGGCCCCTAGAAATCAAGTCGGTTAAGGGGGCAATACACTGAAAATGGCCAAAAACTGACTTGTGCGATCTCGACCTCGTTTGCGCCAAAATGTAGGTAATTGAAGCGGCTATCGCATGAACTAGGATTATGAACATCGAACAATCAAAAGTACAAAATTTTACGAAAAAACCTGTTTTGATCATTTTTGCAAAATTTTCAAAAAGTGTTTTTGGATGAAATTTTGTACTTTAGGTTGCTCGATGTTCATAATCCTAGTTCATGCGATAGCCGCTTCAATTACCTACATTTTGGCGCAAACGGGGTCGAGATATCTTCAGTTTTAAGGACTGAGGGACGCCCGCCAGTTCAACTTTTGACGAAAATTTGATTGGTCGCTGCTCCGCTCCCTGACGTCCGATCGACGCCATTCTGGGCTTAAAATGCTTCTTTTTGTAAGGTCTTGACGCATGAAAAGTTTGAACAGCGCTAAACAACGCGTATGGAAGCAATCGCACAAGACAGTTTTAGGCCATTTTCAGTGTATTGCCCCCTTAAAATCGAACACGTCAGGTCAAGTCACGATGAGAAAAGGTCAGGTTCATACTTCGCAGCCACGTCTCGACACTACTGTGGGTGCCAGTCCAGGATGATGTGTACCGCACGTGATCGTCATTTTATCATGTGGTTTCTTGCACAGTTTGGCTTCAGAACAGACGGTGCAGTCAAACTCTAGTCTATTGTTGAGGACAAATGTTTACTCCAGTGCACATGCTCTTCAACTTAACTTGGGTAATCCCAGATGACCCATTTTCCGGTGCCATGTGGTTGCTGCGTCTTCTTTTTCGGTGAAGTTGGCTTCTGGGAGGCTTTGTTTGAGATTTTCTTCAAATAGTCCATTTGAAGTTTTTTGGTCCTTTCAACAAGACCAGATCTTGTGGTACCTTCAGGGTTCCTTTGAGTATTTTAGCTCCATCTCGCCACGAGATGCGGTACCATCCACGTACTCCATCAGCGATTTTGCCTCGAATGCTGTGGTGACTTCCAAATCCCACAGGGGATAGTTGCTACTATCCTTAAGTTTTGGCATATTGCCGTAATTTTCTTTGGAGTCCATGATAAGATGACTTTTCTTCTTGTCGCTCAGATTCGGCCAGCTGGGCCCATAACCTTTTAATCTTCACGTGTTCTGACAGGAGCTTGTAGGACAGAGAAAAGAGATGTTTACCTTCACACTGGTTCACCGTACAATGAATACCCTTTTATTTCTCTATAGTAGGTTCCTCAACATAACTTGAACTCAAGGAAGGCGGTGGTGCTATGGTAGAATCAGTCTTACTTCTAACATCGACAAGCCTGTTACGACACGACACGGTCTGGCGTACACCTACCTAGTAATAACTACCTTCAAGGGAGGGAGATGACATTAATTCAGACTCTGGTTCTATGTGATGACCACTGTTCACATGGTGGTCCAACTGCCCCTTTGCACTGTAAAAAATTAGTTCGTAAATTTACAAACAATTTATGGGTAATTTCGTTGCACAAATTATCTGTAAATTTACAACGTCTTTTTGTTTCTTAACGATTTATGAATTATTCTTCACGCAGTAATTTGTAAAATTACAAACTTTTTACACGCTCCAAATTACGTGGACCGCTTTTGTTCTACCTTGTCACGCTGATTAAATGGAGATTAACTTATTTCAGCGTTTTTGTTTTGTTTTATGAAACATCTTGTAAAATGATGAAGGCATCACCATGTCTCGTAATCTTACAAGCGATTTGTGCAACGGAATTACCCAAGCATTTGTTGTAATTTTAGGAAACATTTCATGTTTTTGTGACATTGTTGTAGTATTTTAGTCACGTTTGAGATGTATTTTGATCGTACCATTTCATAAGGCGGTGTTCACGAACTAATTTCATAAAATTAAGAAGATTTATGTGATGAATAATTCATAAAACGGCCTCTACGAATAAATTTCATAAAATAACGAAATGTTATTGTTACTTCACAGAGAATTTGTAAAAAAAATTTTCGTAAATTCACAATAATTTTTTACAGTGTGGCGCAAATTCATCGGAAACATTCAGGACATTTGAACTTGCTAGAATTTTTTAAAACAAGATCAAGCTGCAGCTTTTTATGTCTGTTAAGTGTGGACACACTATCCAAGATTTTGTCGCACACATAGCATTCAAAACCAATTTCTTCGGTGCTTCTCCGTTTTTTACTGTTGTCTTGTTGCTCCATGTCAATTTTTGTCTGATCATGATTGGTTACAAACTTTTTTTTTTAGGTAAAAGAAGAATCACACCTGGAAGAGCAATTCGTAATTTAGTCTTCTTTGTTAATCCATTGTGGATCAAATAAAGAAGTTTCAACAAATGAAATACGTATCGGCTTACTTGCTCGTCACTCTTCAATTGCTTCTTCTCCTCATGGCTAATATTATGAATGCTCTTCAAATTCCTCCTCAAAGCAAATTAAGTTGAGTGGTGGCACACTCGGAGCACTTATAGTCGAGCCAGCCAAAGGTGGCCCTTTTGGCGACCGTTGGAAATGCGGCGGCTGGCCGAAGCATTGGCGCTGCCGTCGCTCGGGCTACCCCCTCTATCTCCCGGACCGCCAATAGTAGCCGTTGTTCCGCCTAAACAACGGCCACTATTGGCGGTCGGGATGTGGAGGGGGTAGCCCGAGCGACGGCAGCGCCAATGCTTCGGCCAGCCGCCGCATTTCCAACGGTCGCCAAAAGGGCCACCTTTGGCTGGCTCGACTGTAAACGAATTGGATGGTTTTAGAAAGCCATGAAATTTCTCCAGGTGGCGGTTAAGCTGAATGCTGGGTAATTTTACGCCACATACATGGCATATGACATCCATCGTCAAAGGGACTGATATGCACGGTGGATTTCATCAGACGGAACAAGTGTTTTGGGGAAATCCCGCCGCATTTCGATACAAGTGGCGCCACCTGTGGCATAGCTTTGGAACTATAGGTCGGAAAACGCTCTGAGTGGTGGGGAGACCCCGAAGCTGCCCGGAGTCGAAGCGGTTCGGGTCGCGCGGTCGCTCGGATTCGGTAGGGGTTCGGGTGTGCAGATGTGCCAGGCATCTTCCTTCACGGGGACAGCCGTCCGCCCAGGCGACACCAGGCGCTCGCTCTGCGTCCCTCTCACGCGAGGTCCACTAGATCGGCCGAACCTTGGAGTAATACTGTTAGGGAGTCCTAACTAGAGCTGCACCTTTCTGTTTGCCAACGCCCTGAAGGCTTGATTTTCAACTTAGAGACTTTCCCAATAGCTCATCTTGTCACAAAAAGAGTGAGGATTTACGGGATGCAAACAGATTGGAGCTAACCCATACCGTTCTGGAGTTCAGGGCGTTTCTGTGCGTGGCACTAGGTGTCCGGCGAATAGGGTACTTTCGTAGATCCCTGAACCGGAAGCACACAGACGCCATGTTGGCGGAAGTAGATCAACTTGACACAGGAACGAGACGACAGTCAAACGTATCGGCCACACTTGAACATTAACAGTCGTTTTATACTTATTTGCAGTGCATGTGTGTCCCGCGAGCAACATTTGTACAGGTCCGCTAAAGCTTTGGATCCGGAGAGAGGTTAGTTTCCGGCCAATATGGCGTCTGCTTGCTTCCGGTTCAGGATCTACGAAAGTACCCTATCGTAGAGAGAGAAAGAGATAGTTTCTGAACTTTGCCACCATATAGCTCCTGACTGGGGCAACTTAGAAAGTTCTAGTTTTGAAAAATGGATTTAGAAGGCGAAGGAGATGGACGGGATGTAATCAGCATCGATGAATTCGGTCGGTTTCATGGAGTGCCTTTCCGACCGGGTGGTTTTCTCTCTCTAGCATTCGTCAGGACAGCTCGGCCCACCGCCGCGCCAGTTAGGACTCCCCACAGTATTACTCCAAGGCCGAACCATTCAGGAGTAGAGCGGACACACAAACACGGGTTAAGTTTTCCAATCCAACTCCACTGGAGTAACGGGCCTCGGTATCGCTCGGCCAACCAGCAACTTTGTCAACCTTGCTTATCATCAGGTGTTTCTTTGGAGCAGGCTCCTGCTGATGCATCTAAATGATTTGAAGCCCTGCGCACTTTCCCGGTGATAGATCGGTTTTGTGCACTCGCTACGACTGTATTATTCTCATCTATGCATCGGGGTTCTCTCACCCTACACACAAAAGATAATGCAACATTCCCATTTATTGCACGAC